TTACGTAAGAAATGAGAAAAAACATAATTAACAGTCACTAGTCTGAGATGAGGTATCATGTTAAGCATTCTGTTTGCGTAATATATGGATTACCGTAAGTGCCATTTGGAGGTATTTTCAAAAATATGTTGAAAATATAAAACCATTATGATGAGGGCTGAATTTCTTTTTCTTCTTTGGCTAAAAGAACATGATCAGTAAGTTGTTTGTTTCTGATTATTTTTTGTCCTTTCTTTCATGGTGATGTCCTAATCACATATCTTTAATAGATCTGTTACGGGATTTTCAATTTTTCTAATCAAGGCCAGAAATTTGTGTCTTTATTTCTAAACTGAAAATCTACAAGGAGGGAAAACAAACTTTTATAAAAACATATTTTCAACATGCATAAGAGAGCGCATGCATATGTTTCAGTATTACGTTCCTTTCTGCTCAGAATCCTGATTGAGAGCAGAGGCTTCTGTCTACAGAAGTTTTTATGTTTGGCTTAAACTACTCTTCTTTGAACTCCTATTTCTGAAAGTGCATGAACTGTCAAAATTCTTCCCCTGTTGCAGGGGAGATGTGTTTAAAGATTAAACACTGCTATTCAACAAATAATAAAAAATCCTTGTGTAGGTAAAAGCAAAAAAACACATCCTTTAATTTCCACATTGTACCATTTAATTTTGAGAAAATTTGTGATTCTTTGCTTTCATTACGCTTTTCTTCTTTTAGGTAGAATATGATTAGTAATCTACTTGATTTTCAAGCTTCTTAAAATAAGACAGAGGTTAGCTAAATGTCAGTGAAGCTGAGGCTGAGTAGCACATCTATCTCTAATACTATAAGTTACTGCCCCTTACACGGTTTGTAACAACTTGAAATGTGCTGTTCTGTTTTTCAAAAAAAAAGCAATGGAACTCTTCATTTATGGTTGAGTGTCAGTATCCTGACACTCAGGTGTCAGGTGTTCTTGTGGTTTTGTTTCCTTACTGCTCCATGTTATCACAGGTGCCATTTTTGTATGTTCTCTGAAAATATTTTTATATATGGTGTAATGGAGTGATGTGCTTTTATTTCTGATCTAGAAAATGCTGGGTTTTTTTTTTTCCAGAGCATTCTGCTTTTAAATTGCAACAGTCACATAAAGAGTTGGAAGCAAAATAATCTTGTTAATGAGCTGTCAGTAGTGTTTTATCTTCAGTCCCATTTATGAGTTTTTAGAATTCGCCATTTGTATTGTAATGCACGGGGATAATTGTGTATTATAGAATTTGATCATTGTTTGATTTAGTTTTATATGCAGGAGGAAATGCTCAAGGTGTTCATCAGCTAAGACTGTTTTAGGTCACTATTGAACTGTACATGGTAACAAGTGTAAAGTAAAATGCTGCATAATCTTCAGTGTAAAACTTCTTTATATGGAGTTTGATTAATGTAAAACGTCCTGTATTTTTTTTAATGTGTTATATTCTAAAATTGGTTGCAAAGATGGTAAGAATGGGAAGTTTCATGTCTCTGTGTGCACTTCCCAGTTTTCAGTGTGTGTAATTGTGAAAAATGCATATTACATGATTGGCTCTTTGCAAATATTAAAATAAAGACTATATGTGTTATGTTGGAAAGTTATGCTGTATTAATCTTTTTTTAGTAGTGTGGTAAATACAGCTTTTGGGCTATAGCATAATATTAAAATAGAAACTATGTGATGTAAGGTAATTTTTGTAACTAGCTCAAAGAATGGAAAAGATAGTCAAATTCTTTGCATATTTGGATAAGAGGTAACAGCAACAAGACACCAAAATCTCTAGAGAAGAATTATTGCGTCCTTGTTGGGACTATTCAGACTTTTTCCAGACTTCAAGGAGCCAAAAGAATTGATTTACAAGATGGGGGCAGGGGGGCAGAAATTAAGTAGAAGACATCCTTTGTTTGAAAAGAATATTTGCATAATGTATGAGATATATGAATATGCAACAGGCTACTGCTTTTAAGGGTTAATCCTGTGTTAGTGAGGGTTGTTTCTATAGCAGAGTGCCAGACACATGGATGTCTGTAATTCTTTGCTTTTTATTGTCCTTTATTGTCCTAACTCAGTTCAAATTCCTTTTGCCCTAATTTTTAGTACTATTTTTATTAACTCTTTTATTACTCTTAAACTTAAAATTTTAAAACAAGTGATTGGTGTTTTTCACAATTTGGTGCCATGACTTGGATGAAACATCTCACTGCCAAAACCTCAGAGGATTTCAAGTGAGGGAGGTGTGCCCTGCCAAGTTTGACAGCCTCACTCTGTTTCTTCTGGTGTGATCAGCAGATGCAGGTCCCAACCAGTGGACAAAAAAGAGACAATAAAACAAAGAAAAGGGAAAGGCTCCCTAAAACCGTGGTAATTTGCCTTCTAAGACTAACAGTGTACACGAAGACCTGGAAAGGAAAAAGGATTGCAAGTACTTTTTTGGCGGGGCGGATACTGGAGAGTTTGTGTGTATCTGAGAGGTGAGCTGGTTATCCCAGACCAGCCAAGTGAGCGAGGAGTCTCCCACGCTGCGGTTTCATCTTTTTGTGAGAAAAATGGCCAGCGAAGAGAGGAAGTGAGTGGTAAAAGGAGTGAGAACCCAAACCTCGGGGAGGTGGAAGGGGTCAGGGTGGGGGCCTGCACAGACCAGTGATTCTCTGGCAACGGGTCTGCTTCATGTAAGTCTAAGACGTTTGCTGGCATTTTCTTCTGTCCAATAAAATGAAGGGAAATGTATGGAGTACTGAACATACAGTGTAGTGCAGAAACTTAGGGGTATCTGTACTTAAAGTTCTAGGGTGTTGAAAAAAAGTAACTTAGATAGTCCAAGTGGGTGAGGCACCAAAAACTTGGTTAAGGAATCGAAAAGTATGAATTAACAGGCTTGAAGGTGTGAATGAATGTGTGTGAGAATGAGTGAGAAATAAAAGTAGATTAATGAAAGTTTATATATGTAGATTGTTTATTTTAAGCCTTACTTTAGCTCCTTGGAGGGAGGTGTATTGAATTGTATTGTGAGAGAAGGGGTTTTTTTTTACAGGGGGAAAAAGGTGGTAAGTTGTTGGAGAAATAGTGGGAAACAGGCAGGGAACAAATAGGTAAGATCTTGAAAACTAGGACAGAAAACCAGTAAGTTAGCATACAGGAAAAAAAAAGGGTACCAGCAAAGATACCCCAAGAGAGCCCTCTGGGAGTTATGTTAACTAACTGGGATAAAAAAATCCTTGTACAAGGAGAAAGGACAAGGTAAAGGTGATCCAATTTTGTATGAATGGGCAAAGAAGGAAGTAAGATCTGACCACGTTTATTGCCCTAGATATGTGGCTTTTTTTTTTGAAGTTTGGATTTGTCAGGCTCTAAATTTATTTATAAATTCAAACGAACCGTTTAATCCAGAAGAGAGTATGCCAGGGAAGGAGAAGGGCTGGGAACAAGACAGAAAAAAAATGCCAGCTGCCATGAACCATGTTGGGGCTATCCATGCTCCGGCTTTGTTCCAACAGAAAGATCCCCCTCCTTTGGGGGCTCCGGCAGCAGCCCCCACCTGCGCCCTGCCCTTCCCTCCCCTCACCCCCTTTTCCCATCCCTGCCCTGGCTCCTGGTCTCTTGGTAACAGCAGCTCCTGCTGTTCAAGATAACTCTCTCCCTGGAGAAGATCTGTCTTACTGAAACACAAGAAGCTCATTTAGAAGACAACCCTCCTGATCTCTAAACATGGGAGAAAAGCTATAGAGGTAAAAAAACCAAAAACGAATAGGATGAAGGGATTAGTCTATTTCTGCTAAGAGAGGGTCCAATGGGAGGGGGTGGAACGGGGTTTGTAAACAGCCCTTTGACTTCTTCTGGAGTCATAAATTTAAAAAAAATAAAAAGGAATTCTGGAAGATCCCATAGGAACAGCTGAGCAATTAGACCAATTCTTAGGTCCAAACATTTATACTTGGGAAAAGATGCAATCTATAATGAAAATAGTTTTGTCTAAGGAGGAAAGGCAATTGATCAGAGCAGCTGGAATAAAAGTTTGGGAAAAAGAAAACCAGCAGGCCCCCCCCTTCAACCCCAGATCAGAAAGTGCCAACAGCACCTCATGATTGGGGTCAAAATGATGAGGAGGGGAAGAAACACATGGATGATTATCGTAATTTGATAATCAAGGGAATAAAAGAGATGGCACCCCAAGGGCAAAAATGCTAAAAAGGCTTTTGAGGGACAGCAAGGGAAAGAAACTCCAACTAAATAGTTAGACAGGCTTAGGAGAAATATGAAACAATATTCTGGAGTAGACCCTGAGACTTGAGGGACAAGCTCTGTTAAGAATTAATTTTGTCACAAATGCCAGGCCAGATATTAAAAAAAAAAAAAAAAAAAAACAACCTAGAAAAATATTGAGGATTGGCATAATAGATCATTAGATGATTTATTAAAGAAGGCTCAAAAGATTTATGTCCAGAGAGATGAAGGAAAAGATAAAGTGAAAGCAAAAATTATGGTAACCGCTATATGAGAAAGTAATTTCCAGAAGAATCTAAAACCCTCAGGCACCAGTCCCAGACATAAAAAGAGAAAAGGGAAAGGAAAAAAACAGAGCTCCAGTCCAACCCAAATCTCAGGAGCATTCTAGAAATATCTGTTTTTACTGTAGGGTCAAAGGACATTGTAAGAGAAATAGCTCTAATCAAATAAAAGAATTTAAAATCTTCCAAGAGATGGGCAGAGAGGAGGAGTAGGAATACTTGCATCATGTATGAGATTTATGAATATGCAACAGGCTATTGCTTTTAAGGGTTAATCCTTTGTTAGTGAGGTGTGTTTGTTTATGATAGATGAGTGATGAGATGATTGACTCTCACAATTAACAGACAGATATCATGTATATAGGTTAAGAAAGGTTTTATCTATTTATAGTTATGTTCTACCCCATCCTGTTGTTATCAAGAGACAGCCGGGGTGTCTGGGAGAGTTGGGGACATCTGGGAGTGTTGGATTGTGACTGGCGACGATGGACAGAACCTTGGGCGGGATTAAAGGGTTAAAAGGCAAAACCTCCGTTGCGTGGGTGAGCACATGGTGGGAAAAACCCGTTACTGCCGGCGCTGTAACATTTCTCTATTCAGTCTTCCCTTGTATTTTTGATACGGCTTAATGAACCTTTCAATAATTACGAAAAGAGAGTAGCCATTTTCTCACCTATGGCAGAGTGCCAGACACCCGGAGGTTCGTAATTCTTTGCTTTTTATTGTCCTTTATTGTCCTAACTCTTGATTCTCCAAATTCATATTTCTCTAATTTTTACTACTATTTTTATAACTATTTTATTATTACCGCACTTTTAACATTTGAAAACAAGTGACTGGCACTTTTCACAGAGACGGAGCGGGTTTCACGGGTACTAAAGGCTCGGTGTCTCCCCGGCCGGCGGGGGCCGTGAGGGCGCTCCCCGCCGGTTCCTCCCGTCAGGCAGCGCGGCGGGCAGCTCCGCCTCCCGGCGGCGGCGCGGAGCGAGGGGCGCAGCGGCCCCGCGGAGCCGGCGGCCCCGGATGGCCAAGCGCCGCGCGGAGCCGCTGCTGTGCCACGTGCCCGTGAAGCGGCTGCTGCGGGACCCGGCGCTGCCCCGCGCGGGCGAGCGGCGGCCCCGCGCGGAGCCGGGCGGCGCGGCCAAGCGCCCGCTGGAGGAGGCGGAGGCGCCGCCGGGAAAGCGGCTCGGGCCCGGCGCCCCCCGCGCGCAGCCGGGGGAGGCGGGCGGCGGGCGGCGGCGGCGCGGCGGGACCGCGGCGGCCCAGGACGCGCCGGCGGCGGAGGGACGCGCGGGCGGCCGGGGCAAAGAGCGGCCCGCCGCCGCCGCCGCCGAGGTACCGTGCGGGACGGGCCCGCGGCGCTCGTCCGCGGCGAGGGGAGGGAGGGAGGGAGGGGTGGTGCCCGCGGCGGCGGAGCGTGTCGGCGGGACGCCCGTGTCAGCCGGGGGTGCTGGCGGGCTCGGTGCCGCCCCGCCCCATCTGCGCCGCCTGGCCGCGGGCATCTTCGAGCTGCTTTTACTTTTGTGCTCCTCGGGGCACGGGAAGGGTCACCAGCTTTACCCGTTCCTTCCCCGCCCGTGCCACGAAACAGCCTGTCCACCTTACCTCGGGTTGTGCTCGGCTTCATCCCCTCCAGGAGTGCGGGGGAAGCTCGCAGAGCCTGTTCTGGTGTTACCTCTGTTGTGTGAGGGTGAGGGTTAGGCTCGCTACAGCGTCAGCTTCCTAAACTTCGTGGTTTGACATTTAATAGCAATGCCAGAGCTATCTTTTAACCTCAACATTTAGCGGAGGCGGTGGGCTGAGGAGAGGCATCAGTGTCGTAATGATTAGAGTATATTGAAACGAGTTTTCTGGTTAACTTTGAGCAATATACGTTTTTCTTCCTGGCCTTGACTACATTTTAATACAGTAGTTCAGCAAACAAAATTTGGTACATATGAAGAAAATCGTAATAAAAAAACCAAACCAAAACAAAACAAAAAAAACCCCACCAAAAACCCCGCACAACCAAAGCAGATTGTGACCAGATTTCACAGATTTCAAACACAGACGTTTGGTACATGTTAAACTTAGTTTTCCTCCCACCTAGATCTTGAAAGACTATTAGATCAATTAGGTTCAGTGATATGGAGGTGGCAGAAAGTCTGATCAGGTTAGATGGGCTTTGGTTGGGAGTTGAAGACAAATTTCGATCATTTGTGGCCTCTCACAGTATAACACCCACATACAATCTGTAAAGAAAACACTGGCTTTTATTTTTCATTCTCTGCTTTTTTGCGTGTTCTTGGTTGATTGATTTGTTAGTGAATGGTAAAATTAAGGCAGGAAGACATTCAGAAAAAATTCTATGTCATATGAATATTATACAGCCATTTTAAACACAAACATTTCCTTTTGAAGACGGAACACGTATATTCATAAGCATAGCAATCTAAAAAATTGAACAAACCTCTGCAGAACAGTTTGACTCCTGTCACAGGTTTAAAGCATCATATTGCAGTTGGCCAGAGAAGAAAGATTTTTTTAATTCAAAGTGCACTTTTGCAACTAGAGTTGGAAAACTAACTCCTTAAATATTATGCAACTTAGTCTATAGAAACTGAGCTTTTGTATGTCTTGAGCTTGCCTACCTTGTTGCCTACCTTGATAGAATTTCTACACAAGACCTGTGTGGAAACTTACCTAGCTGAAGGTGAATATTTGGTGGTTTGTTTTGCCTTATAGGTACAAATGTTTAGCGCTTGTGCCTGTCTTTTGTACTTTTTTCATTTTCACACTGCAGTGTTGCTAATCTGTAAACCTGAAAGCTTTTGAGAGTAATTGTGCATGTTGTCTTAGTCCAAAATTAAGTATGTGTTGATGAACTCTTACACTCTAATAATTTTGAAATGAGGGTGCTGTCATTCACTTTATGCATACAGAGCATGAGGGTTCTGATTTTAAGTACTTAGTGCTCAGTATTTTTAAAAAAAAAATACTAAAATATCAGGGAAGTTCAAATAATGCAGGGGAGAATTTGTAAAAGTAGTTGACAGTTTTTGAAACTATCAACTGAGATTTTTTCAAAGAATTTGTTAGCCACCTGCTCTGCACAGTTCTGTGTGAGTGATGCTGCCTGTGTTGCAATACAGACTGGGAAGTCATCCTTTCCACGCTTGTCAATTGTTGTTAATGCTGTGCTGTACAAAACTTCCAGTTTACAAGAATGGGCAACTACTTTTAGTTTGGCTTTCTTCCAGTTTCAGTATAATCAATCCTTTTGTTCCTGTGTCACGGTGTCATTTAATTTGTTTTAGTCTCAATTAATGGGAACTTTTGTTCTTTAATATTTTCTAAGACAAACTTTCCCAATGAGGAAATTTACATTAGTAGTGTTCTACAGGCAAGGAGCCATCTTACTGCTATGAAATGTCTGCACCTTTCATCCTCTCTGAATTATTATTGTCATGCGGGGCTTTTGCACCAGGAAGATGTTTCTGAGTACGACAGATTGTAGTTCAGGAGAGTTCTGTGTAGTAACAAATAGAAAAATGGATTCTTTAAATGAGAAGTATGGTAATTTTATGTACATCTCTCTTTTGGGAAGAGTGGAGAAAGCATAATTTTTCAGTATTTGAGAAGGTGTAGGGATAGTACTCACTACTGTTTTTTTTTTTTTTTTCTGTTGCAAAACCAAGAGACAAGCAATTAATATTTTCAAGAGCCACACTGCAGAGTCCCATTGAAGCTGATTTAGTGTAGATTGCAGTGGTGCTTTGACCCTCCACAGGCTGCATGTCCGTATCTCAGAAATACCAAAACAATTTACATTTTATTTGTTAAAAATACTTCTGTTCAGCATCTGTTATAGCTGACACAGTGAAGTAAAATATTTAAAAATTCGAATTGTATGTTAGGAAAAATGCAAACCCAATATAACATGGAAATGCATTATTTTAGGTTTGTGTCAGCATACACTGTTTTTATATACCAGAAGAAGATACGTGCTCATGACCTAAGGAATGACTTAATTCATTCCTCTTCCTAGATGTATCATGTCCATGGAAACATGTACAGTTTGGCCACTGTTGATAATTGTGACATGTTTATAAACAGGCAGTGCACTTTCTCATAGACATTTAAATGAAAATTAAAACTGTGCTGCCATATTAAATTAGTAGATGAGGATGTGTGCGTTTGTTTCTCCAGGGTTTTTTGAGATACTATGTAGTTAGATAAGTTGGAGCATTTGTGCTCATAATGCCAAGGCTGTGGGTTTACTCCCCATATGGACAATTCATCTAAGAGCTGCATTTGCTGATCCTTGAGGGTCCCTTCCAGCTCAGAATATTCTGTGATTCTTAAGCTTTCCTCTCTTGAATACAAAATTTGGCTACAGAAAAGAAAAAATAGAATGTTGTTTAAATACTATAAAATGCTTTATTTATCCTGTATATATCATCCCTCTGAGTTGCTGTTAAGTAGCTAAATACATTCTCTTGAATACCAGTTTTTTAATGTACATGAACATTGTATACTATTATGAGAAGAAAAAGCAGTGAGCCGTTTTTGTATGCAAAGTCCAGTAATTGCACAAGTTTTACAGCTTTTTTCTTTGCAAAAATCATAAGCTGAAGAAATGTATGGAATTATGGAAGCTGTTAATAATTCTTCGCAAGAATATTAAAAAAGGCAGAAGTAAATCATGATCTAGTTAAGAATCATAAAGTAGTTGTTAATATGAAATAGCTGAGTAACTTCCTAGTTTCAGTGTCTCATATGAAAAGTTTCTTTTTCTTATTTTCTGCTGCTGATACACACATTAATGTTTTGTTAAATTTTTGTTTATTTGTCTCTTTTCAAAGCAAGAAGAAGAATTCTGTCAATATAACTCATTCCTGTACTGGAGACCACCACTGCCTGCTATTGATTTGTCTGATATTCAGAACTTAGATGAAGAGACTCCATCGAGTGCTAAAACTGCTGCAAGGACTGATACCTCAGAGACTGAAATGGAAACCTGATCAGTTGTTTCATAGCTGTGCATCGACTCCCAGGAAACTTGTTTCCATTGAGATTTGGGTTTTGTTCCTTGGGTGAATAAGCATGCTTATGCAGTCTTGGAGAAACTGTTGTGGCAGTCTTCAAAAGCAAATCTGAGTTGCCTTAGTGTATGGGATAAACGGTATTGGGTTCTTAACAGGAAGCTGTCTGAAGGTGGGCAGTAAGGAGGAGCCTGCAGTGTAATAAGAATACTTGAAGACATGGAGGCAGACTAAAAGAAGAATATAAAAAATTCTTACTTTGGGATGCAATTAAAAGAAATGGGGATATGTTACATGTCTAAAGGAAATGTGAAATTATTTTGTCTGTCCTGAGCAAAAATCAAGTGGTATCTGAAAGTGAAATATTTAATGTGTGAATTTATCATAAAGCACACAAGCTCTAGTGATTTCTAATGTGTTTTTTTTTTTTTTTTTTCTGTATAATAGCTAAACCAAAAAATAAGAGTCCATCAAAATCGGACAAAACATTCCCTTTTCTATGCAAACCAGAAACCAAATGTGGCAGAGAAAGGGAAAGAAAAGGGGCTGCTTTCTGCTGAAAGCTGCTGCTGTTCTGAAAGGTATCACATTCTCATTGAAAAAAAGTATTTTCACCTTCTCTTTTTCACATTACAGACAGCTGCAGGCACCCAGTTTTTTATGTTTTTGGTTCATCTAAAGTTATTACTAATTGTCTTTGTGAAGTTTCTCTGAACTAGTTGATAGGATCTGAATTACAGGTTTGGGCAGATATGTCAAGAAAAGATAGTGCAATATGAAATGACCACACACACTCTTTCAAACCACACTTAATAAGGTGTTTTTGCAGAGATCGTGAATCTTGCAGAGAGTTTTTGCAGAAGCTCATTCAAGTAGTGTTTTTTTTTGCTGTGAAATATAAACTTAATGTTTGTGATTTGCAATTTATTTACAAATTGAAGTATAATTAGAAAGACATCTTTAATAATAGACTGAAGTTGTATGGGAAAACTTACATTTTGGAATACAATTTGTCTTTAAGGATAGAAAAAATTGTATTTTTTTCTGTAATCACTATTGAAAAAGGCAACTTTTGAATTTTATTTTTTTCTAATAATGTGTTTGTTAAAGGACAATAAAGTTTTGCCTGTGTGTATGTGAAAACTTTGGCACTATTACGATGTGAAGTTCTTGACTTTATTTCATAAGATTGCTGCGTCTGTATCTTGGTTGATTTATTAGGTCTTTTTGCTTAAAATAGTGAGCATGTCAGCTTCGTTGGTAAACACTTGGAAAATTCTGGAATTTTTTCTGCCTAGGTATCTGTATTTGTTGCTTATTCATTTAGCTTGTTGAGATCTCTGAATACCTTCTGAAGAAAGGAGGTGGCTTAGAGACTTAAGCAGTTCACAGTGCCTCTTTGGATATCCTTCTGCTTTCTGTCAAATTAGTTGGATACATATTTGAATAATATGTATTTTTCTCAGACAGTTTTAGCATTTTGTTTGAGTCCAAATACACCAATTTAGGAGGCACTTGGAAATTTTTCCAAAAACCAAACTCCTTTTCTGGCAAGAAGGCTATAAAACTGCTATTTTATGTTTACTATAACCAAAATAAATTAGTGGAAAAATAGATCTATTAATTTGTTGAAGTGTTTTAATTGGTTATATGATACACATTTTGACCCTATATAGTACATGTGTTCCTGTGAGTTTATAGTATTTCAGACCATCCAGTCTTCTCAGGATCCAGTATTTTGCATTATAAGTTGGTATCTTTGCAACACACTGCTCAGTTAAAATTTGCTTGGTTCTTCACTCACAGTAGATACATCCTAGCAATAGCCTGCATTTTATTATTAAAATCTGTCATTCCACTCTGTTCGTGGGACAGAAGGTGTTTTATTATGGTCTTTCAAATACATGTTTGATCTATCCCATAGCCAGATAAATAAGTCCTTTACAACAAATTTAAGCTTGGAGTGTGCTGTAAGCCATATGTGTACTTCATTTGCAATTGTGCTGTAGGCAACCACTTTCCTCATAGTTTATTCCAGTTGTGGACTCTGTTAAGGCTGGAATGTTACGGCTACTTTTAGTTTCCTGAGCTGATTCATTTTTTCCATTCATCTCTTTGCAAATAGAGGTAAATTTAAAAGCCTTGGAAAACTACTTGAAATTACTCTTGAGAATGGGTTATACAAGAGGCTGGGGCAGTAATGGGGAGTGATGACAGATTACATAAATTTGAAATTAGAGACAAAAGGTACGATAAATTGGATTTTTCAGATGCCATATGACACTGAACTACCAAATTGCTGGTCTTGACTTCTGACCCCATTTTTCTAGAGGCTTTTCATTCATAAGCTGCATATAAACTATATGTAAGCTTAGAAGTTTTAATTTGTATATACATTAACATCCAGTGAAAAAAAATGTTTTAAGATAATGTTTTAAGAAATGTTTTAAGATAAAGAAATGCCATTACACATTGAAATAATTCAGTAGCTGCATACTGGTTGACAGTTTTTATTTGGTATGGTTTTAAATTTCAGAATAAAAAAATAATGTATATTTTCTATAGTTAACTGGGAGTTTGATATTCTCTAAAATACTTTTTTCTAAAAGGAAAAACCAGTGCCACAAGCTTAAGAACTTGTAAGGTGTAAGCACATCTAGACATCATCTGGGTTGATCAGGTGCTGCATCAGCCAGTTGCACAGTAAGAGTACACGCATAATAGTATGTCAGATACAGGAGTTAAATATATGTAAAAGTAGATTTAAATAGCAAAGTAGCATGACCAACGTGTCATAAATATTTTGCATTATTCTAAACTAAAGGCCTGTTTTAGATTGTGTGATAGGTGTTTATTGAAGGCCCGCATTAAGTTTATGGTTCCTAAGATAGATAGATAAGCCTCCAGGAGGAGATTAAAGCTCAGTCCGCATCAGGAAAGTGAAGAACTACTTTGAAAAACAGGCTGCATAAGTTAACGTGTGTTGGTAAGTAGACTGATAAAAAGGGGAAAAAAGTGGAGGATGGAAGGTAGGTGATCATGAAGTGACTCAGCCTGTGATTGCAGGTCTAGTTGGCCAGCAGATCAATGACAAGAATATTTTCAGCGTTAGCTCCATCTTCAGCACAGCAATACTACAGTAATTTGAATATGGTATCAACTAAATGTAGTAGTTTTTTCATGGTTTGCTAGTTGATTTTTTTCCTGTTGGCCAGAAATTTATGGATGTTAAAAAAGCATGCTTGTATATAGGGACTTGGAAAATATATGGGGTCCTTCATAAAGAATATAAAATTGTGCAAATGTATATATTACCAGGTGAAACTAAAGATGATTACTATCCAGCATCTGCCATCATGTTCTAACCAGAACAGGAGATTTATTTGGGGAAATTAATATATTCTTTTTTGAAAGCCTCTGACCACAACTGTGGGAAGAGAAGTTAGACTGCCCAGACTCACTGTTTTCTGCAGCAAAACTTATGCTCGAAGGAGCATTTAGTAATAACTGATATGCTTGGGTTGGTTTAATTACTTCCATGCCTACAGTTATAACTTGACACTCTAGGTGGCAATACACATCCACAGCAAGTTGCCATGAATCTGGAAAATGTTTTGGGTATACTTTTATTCCAGACTGCTACTGAAAATTCAAGCAGTGACGTCATGAATGCTAATAATTTCCTTACTTGATACATAAATAAGGGCAGATCAACTCACAAGTCCCTGATCATAAGGTGACACAAAATTTTCAGCATAACTAGAGTAAAAACATTGTGTCAAGGAGTTTTGATTCGTCTTAATTCTCTCCAAATCTCATCCTCCGAAAAAACAAAAGCAGCCAACCAAACCCAGTTATCAAATACATGGGATTTTGTTGTCACTGCTGTGTATCAGAGTTTCCTTTAGTTCGGCCTGGGGAACAAGCTTTATCAGATTGCATGTTGGATGGAAACCTCAGTTGGTGGCTGAAGGCTACTTGAAGTGTCCAAGGTGAGGAAGTGTCTAATATAAGGAAGAGATAGGTAAGTGCTAATTCAAAAGAAACTAACTCACAGGAAATGTTTGTATATAGATATTTAAATGTTTTAATATAGATAACTTTTTGCAGGGTATGAAGAAAATTAGAGAAGGGAGATACTTATTTTCCTATTTCCTGATTAAAATTCCTACTTCATGCTTTTTGTACTGTTGCATTTGAAAGTAATAGTTGCAGTCAGTAGTAGTTTATGTTTTTAATATTCTTGGTGAAGTATTCTTGTATTCATGACTTCTTAGTCACTTCTAAGGACTTAAAAAAAATATTGTTCTTTCTTATCTTAAAGCCATACAGATAATGTTTTCCCCTACTGAAGGAAAAAATAGTGATATGTTACCATTCCCAGGGGAAAAAAATGTGAAAGCCAGATGGAGGCAAACTAAATTTTTGTATGCGTATTTAGTTTGTTTTAAAAAATACTATGGTGGATGTTTGTTTTCCTGCTTTTGTTTTGTCTTATTTTACAATTATAAACTTTTGAAAGAAGGGATATGGACTTGCTAAGCATTACATTTTTTCCCGCTTTCCTTATGTGAATGCTTGCAGTTCATATTTGGATTGGTATATGATTAATTAAATTATTTACCAAGTATGAGGTTGAGAAAATCAAACAAAAATAGCATTGTACTATCTGCAGGGAAGTTTAAGCTAGAGAAAAGCCTTTCATGCAGAGCTATGAATGGAAATGAGCCGTTGATTGTTCTCTTGCCCAGGTGAATTTTGTAACATCTTTCATTTGGGTAGTACACCAATGTTTTTCTACCTAAATTGAAACATAAATTGTATGTGATCTGCTCAGAGTGTCAAATACCTCTCTCTGAAGCCTGATACTACATGCTGGATATTTCCTTTTGAGGCTTCAACTTGTACAGTATAGAAATTGCTTTCAGTTTCTTTTAATTCCTGGAATTAAAAACAAAAACAAAACCAAACCAAACCAAACCAAAACCACCCCCCCCCCCCCCCCCAAATAAAAAAAAAAAAACCAAACCGAAAACCACCAAACCAATCAAAAACCAACCACTTTATTTTGTTTCTGATTACATAATTATTATGTAAGAACTGCTTTGGCATAAAGTAAGCTACCAAAAATCCTTTGGTTTCATGATCATCAGTTGGAAAACACAATCTTTTTTAAAAATCAAATAATCACAAAAGGTTGCATCTATGTATTCTATAATAGTTTTTCTTCTTTTACCTTTATGAAATTGAAGAAACTTGTGATTGAAAAGAGGAAAATCTACTTCAGACAAACCTATGTTTCTAAATATGTGACATTCAAATGCAGTCTCCAAAGACAGCTTTTAATTTTACAAATTTAACTCATGAAAATAATTCTGAAGTATGTTTGTGAAATACAGTATGAAAATAAAAACCAGTCACACTAATTCACAATTTTGTGAATTGTGAATTTTGTAATATATTGTGATTTTCATAAGGATGGAACTAAACTTATTTCCTCTCCTAGGCTAGTCAGCTTTTCCTCAGAAAAGAAAAGTACTTAAGATGCTTTCGTAAAATATTGCCCATGCTGATTCCTTTGATAATAAAAACTACAATTTAAAAACATGCTATAGCAATTAGCAAACACATTGGTATAAAAGTCACATAGGACTAAGACACTGGATTATAAGAGAAGAATGTTGATTTAGAAATGGGTGGTTGCTGCAAGGAAAGAGTGAACTTAATCTCTTGAATAAAAGTAAGCTTAAATTTACTTTGCTTTCCTTTTAGAAATCTGGGTACCTAAAGGTGAAATTAGAGCAGCAGCAACAAACAGCCAAGTTAATGAGTTTGACTGTTCATGTTATGGTATATTTCTATTATTTAGTATGGGATAGCTGCTCAAAACACTATGTAAAGCAATAGTTGTCATAACAGTGCTCTGCCTAGCTGACACCTAACGTCTCCTGATAACTGCCTGCTGCCTTCATCAGGGGGTGCTCAAAGCCGTGTCCTGCAGGCCAGGTACGGGTGAATCCAAATGGTTCCCTGCCTTTTCTGCGATGGCTTGGCCATCAGGCTGTACGTGATGGGGTGGGAACCCTTTCCCAGACCCCACAATTGCTAGGGTAGCCTGTGAAAGCCAACAGTCAGTTTCTTCCTTGCCTGCAGAGCACTCAGCTGTTACTAAACACACATGTAACATGAACATGGATGAGTCCTTGGCCTTTGGACGACTGGCACAGACAAAAGACAATATTGTTTACCATGGAACTACCCCTCTTCTTGCACTGTATAATCCAGCATTGCTTTAAGTCTTGTGTTCCACGCTGAGACTGCATGTGCTCAGTGTACTTCACAGATATCTTAGTAAATTCAGGTTTTCCTCTTGCCTGCAGCAATAGATCACTAAAGGACAGACTTCCTTCTTCCTAAGTGAAGCGTGCTGCTCCTTGTACATTCATCACTCTTTAACCCTTGATTTTCAGGTATTAGATTTTCAGATAATTTTTAAAATATTTTTAAATATTTAAAATATTTTTTTTTTTGTGAATAGTTGATTTTTAGGTAAATAATTCTCAGTTAGTTCGAATTAAAGAGATCAGTCATGTGTATAAGGCTCTTTTTTCAGTCT